CCCTTAACTTAAATAGCTCCTCTCTCTCCCTGATGTTTATGCCTGAGATGTACTTATTGAGAGCAATCATACCATCCCTCAGCCTTCGGTTTGTTCGGCTACACAAGCCAAGGTCCTTACCTCCTTTTGTAAGGCAGTTTCTCCCTTCCTCTGATCATCCTAGCAGCCCTTCTCTGAACCTGTTCCAGTTTGAATTCATCTTTGTTAAACCTGGGAGATCAGAATTGCACCCAGTATTACAGATGAGGTCTCACCAGTACCTTGTACAATAGTAATAACACTTCCTTTTCTCTATCGGAAATACCTCGCCTGAAACATCCTAGGATTGAATTACCTTTTTTCACAGCTGCATCCCATTGGCAGCTCATAGTCGTCAACCAATCCACCCAGGTAGGGTTGCCAACTTTGGTTGGATGAATTTCCGGAGGTTTCATGACATGACATTATCTTTAATTAAAGATTAACCTTTAATTCCTGGAGATTCCAGGACAATCCTGAAGGGTTGGCAACCCTACACTCAGGTCTTACTCCTCCATCACTTCCAACTGATAAGTCCCCATGACCTTTCACTTTGAACTAGGGCTGTCAATTAAGGATTAATTCATAGCACAATTAACACATTAATTATTTTAATGCATTAATTGCACTCCAGAGGGAGCAGGGGGCTGGAGCCCCAGCTCCAGAGGCTGCAGTGGGGGCTGAAGGCCAGAACCCCATATCCTGAGGGGGGCTGAAGGCCAGAGCCCTGCAGGGCTGAAGGTAGGGGAATGACAATTTTTTTTTAAGTCCAAATGGGGACACCAGCACAAAAAGTTTGAGAAACACTCTAAAGTTTTACATTGTTTTATTTTTGAGTGCAGTTATGTTTAAAAGAAAAAAGAAAAAAAACCAACCCCAAAACCAAAAAAAAAAAAAAGACAACCAAATTTGTAAGTTGCACTTTCACGATAAAGAGATTGCACTACAATACTTATGAGGTGACCTGAAATACTCTTTTTTGTTTATGTTTTTAATAGTGCAAATATTTGTAATAATACAAAGTGAGCACTGTACACTTGGTATTCTGTATTGTAATCAATATATTTGAAAATGTAAAAAACATCCAAAATATTTAAATAAATGGTATTCTGTTATTAACAGAGCAATTAAAACTGCAATTAATCCCGATTAGTTTTTTTAATTGCTTGACAGCCCTAATTTGAAGCTGGGGTTGATAGGAGGCACATCCCTGATGCTCCCAACCATCACTCCTATAAATGGCAGGATTTAGATTTGACCAGGATGAGAATCTGCATTGATGTAAACACCACGAATAAAATGGAAGGTCTAAGGACCCTTCCCACAGGAAAATGGTGAAATCCCTGATGCAATCTCCTACACTTTTGAAGAACTCAAAATAGTTCAGAATATTTTATGAAAACCAAACAAATTTAATATTTGACCAACTTGTCAGAGGCATGTTAGGTCCTATTAACATATTGACCCCAAACCAGGAAGCCTGCATAATAAAAACAATGTGCTTTCTATCTATAAGAATACTCATGTTTTCCTAAATACACCTAAAATGAGGTCTCTCAAGCATCAACATTCGATCCAAACATGGACCCTGACCTCTGGAGCAAACATTAATGGGAATTCTACTGCAATATTTTGGCACCACACTTTTATACAAAACCAAAAATTATCTTACTAGGGGTCAAGCGTTCAGCTCTTCCCTTCATTTCCTTCAGTTTCTCCACCTTTTTCTCTTTATTCTGCAATTCTTTTCCCACTCACCATCACTTCCCTTAGAATCAGATTTTCAATCTCACTGTTTAACTGTTTCAATCCCACCTTTCATTCACTAAATAACCCCCCCACCTCCACCACTCTCTAAATTTGCCTGTCACCCCTTTCCATTCCCATTCTTCCATCCCTCACTACTCTCATCTGACCCTGCATTCGCTTCCCCACTCCCTCCGCCCACAATGGAGTGTCATGGAGGAAAGAGAGCCTGGGACAACCAACCTTGTCAGCTTTCTTCCCACTGGAGTCTAGAGGAGATGGTGAGGGGCAGTGGCTATAGGGAAATAAGGATGTCTTCTCTCCTGTCCCTTGTTCCTCCTTTGCAGCCTTCACAATGAGGTCTTCTTCCTCTCTCCCCATGAGAGAAGGAGGAGCAGGTGACAGGACATGTTCATGAAACTGATTGGGGTGGGGAAGCCTCTTCTCCCAAAGATGCTGCTAATACTCTACCTAGTAGGTAGGAAATCTGAAAGCCCCAATAAACTTGTGAGCCAGTTCCCACCCCACATTCTCCTGCCTGAGAAGTGCTCACTCCATGAGACAGGCAGAATATGCAGAGAGGGAGCCCTGGATGAACAATGATCACCCAAGCCAGGAAAAAGCAAAGGAGAAGGAACTCTCTCTCTGCTTATAGCTGCATTCCCCCTATCCTTAACCTCATATAGTTATCAGACCGAGGGGACAAGACCAATGCATTAGCTGACTAGCGTATCACCACTAGGAACTTACTTTCATATCAACAGTTGATCCAAATTTCAGAGCCATGAAAACAACCTTTGCCAACTGACAAAGTTCATATTCACTTTCCCAGATCTAAGCCTTCCTCTGCAGTTTTGGTTCCAGGTTGAATTTAAATCCCAAGCACATTTCAGGTTGTGATTCAGATGTAGTTGAAATCTCACAAGGACAGATTCTGGCATGATTTTGGCTCAGATGATGGAAATCACACAAGGACAGCCGAGGTCCCAAGCAGAGCTAGTAACAACAAAAAAGTTACAAGATTTTTCAGGAATTTTTTTTTTAAATGCGGACCAAACTTTTTGAACAACAGTTCTAAAACTTGTAAAATTGGGGGGAGGGATCTATTTTACTCAAAAATGTAATTTTATCATAAATCTAATTGAAAACTCAAAATTCAGTCACAAGATCTCCATTCATGGTGGAAGTCTCAGAATATTTCAGTGCCATTGAATCCAAACCACTCCTAATTCTGTCTCACATCCAAATCTGAATATTACCAATAGCCCAGAACCAAATAGAACCACCATCTTGTCAACCCATCTCTATTCAAATCAGGTTCGTTCAGGAATCAAGTTATTTTAGTGATCTCCCCATAATGTTTAACCACTGCAATAAGAACACTTGGGAAAAAAATAATCACACTTTCATAGGTTTTGTGAAAATTAAGAGCCAATTCTGACATGTTCAGCTATTTTATACAGAAAACAAAACCTAGTTACCCAGGCAAAGAAAATACAGCACTGCAGTTTACTTCAAGGCCATATTTATCAAAAGATATTCTTCCAAGCCAGAACTTCACTAACTAAAAAATGGTGATATGCAATTTAATTAGAGCTGTATTTTGTCATTGTACAAGCCTATGGAATGTAGAACATGCCCTATGCCTAATTTGGTAGACAGAGTCTATGATTCTAAAGTTATGAATAAATATAAATAAAATTTAAATATACAAGGTCAAAGTCCCTTTAAGTGAAACAGGAATATTCCCACACTAGAATTATACAGTACAACCTTGCTTAACCAAACCTTAATTATCTGAAACTATCAAAACAGGATTATAGAGAATTTAATGGAGTGGGAAAGTCCCAGAGCTCAGTCTCCGTGCCCGAAAGTCTATACAGCAATGAAACGGCCAGGCAGCAAGTGCCCCGCAAGCCTGAGTTGGCTGGCACAGGCTAACTTCTTTGCAGTGTAGACATACCCTAAGTATACTGACATAATTGTAATTAATGGTGCCACTAATTAGAAGAGATATTTCTAGTTAAATATATTTTATTGCATGTTTGTTGTTCTTTTGCTAATTTGTGACATCAGTTTGTTAAGAAAGCAAGTGAAATTTCAAAAGTATATCTAATGGTAAAGGAGTCAGTGGGACAGAATTTAAAGAATGCATTTGCTAAATAAAATGTTACAGTAAGTATGACTCAAATTCTTTTCTAGCCAAGAAAAAAGCCTCTGAGCCAAAGGAAAATGAAATTTTGACACTCTTTTCAGCAGAATCTCTTGAGGATTTGTATAGTCAGCCACATAAACAATCTAAAAAAAATAAAGACTTATTACATGGAGGGCTGGGAGTTCCAACATACCTCCCTGCTAGTTAAGGGAAATGGTTTTCACATAAGACATTAACTGCTTTTGTTTTAGCAGCTGAATACTAACAATGCCTCAAAGAACACAGAGGACATGGAGAGATTCAGAGATTACGCATCTAAAAATGCTGACATGTAATTGATAACAATTGGACACTATTCTAGAGCTCTCTTTCTGGGGAAGGAGAGGTCTTAAAAAGAATTACAAGCAGTTTGACAACAAAAGAACTTATTTCCATTTTTAAGTGATTTAGGTTTATTACCTATTGCTATTAATGTACAAGACACCAGAGATCTGAAGCAGCAAAGATTTTTGTGACACTTGTGTGCTTTTGCAAATGGAAGAAAAAAAATAATTTTCTTTGACTTGTTATTGTAGGAGATGTACATTTTGTGACATTCCACTGGGGAATAATTTTGGTAAGAAATTGAACTAGCATTTCAGTGGATACAAAGTTGTTGTTTTTTTCATGGCAGCTGAAACAAATACTAAGCAAAAATTGTTTTGCATGTTACTGAATGAAAAGAAAATACATCAAATTTGTACAGATGGACTAGCTCACTTATTTTCTGTGTTAATTGTTCACTTATTTTCTGTGTACCAAGCTGAGATATTTATGGAATAGAATACTCACAGAATAAAGGTTTATCAGAATCTGGGATCATGAAAATACCATGAATGAGCTGAGTGTTACCAGACACGAAACATTCAGGTCTCACTCTTTTCAAACTTTAGTTCAGATCTAATTATAGTTTTAACAGATGTGGAAAATCAAGTAAGTCAATTGAGATATTAGCCTTAAATTTATCCCTGATTTAACTTTGTTCAACTGAGTTATCAGGATTGAACTTGGCATTTTATCTTTATACATAACACACAAGACATGTTCAAAACATTTTTATTTTATTAATTTACACATGAAAATTAAAGAATTATGTTGATACAGTTTTTGCTTCCAGACTTCCATCTTTTGCTTCCAGACTGCCCTCTTCAATAACCTGCAAAACATCAGTGTTTGGGGGGGGGGTTAAGTATAGTTTCATTCTCTCACCACACCCTGTACATTCTTCCCCTCTGCTGTACTATACTTGAGCAAGGATAGTATACAGCAAGAAGTACTACTGCCTTTAAAATTAAACAATATCAATTAAAAACACTTTCAAACCGGTTTATAAGAACCAGCAGAACCCTGTTTATCCTATCTAACTGGGACTGGGCAGGGGTGGCGAGTTATATGGGCCTATGGTGCCCGGGCTCCAGCAATATTCAGGACCTGGAGCCCAACTCCACCAAAGCTTGGGGTTAGGTCTCTCCCCCAGCCCTGCTTGCTGCCCACGTGTGCCTCCCCCAAGTGTCCCCTGGTCCCCACTTGCTGCCCCCGTGCGCCTCCCGAGGGCCCTGGAGCATCCCTGCCTCAAGCAGGTGGCTGCCCCCCTGCAGCTCCCCTCTACGCTCTGATCTGCTGGCTCCCGGCATCAACTGCTGCCACAGGGTCCTAGTACCCGCCACCCACTAGTGCCAAGGCAGACTGACTCTGACCCTGCCCTTTCGCCTCGGACACTTCCCTTTTCCAGCGGGACCCTCCACCAGCACAGGGGCCCCCCTGCTTGCAACCACCACTCCTGCCCCCTACTGGGCAAGGGGCAGCCCCATCCCCCACCGCCAGTGAGGCTACAGTGAGGGGCAGCAGCAGGGGAGGAAGTGGACATGTGATGGCAGCCTCCCCTCCCCCCCAGTCACCCACCACAGGGGAAGCGAGGGGGATTCCTGGACCTGAGAGGGGCCCTAGGAGCACGTGCAGTGACATTGGGGCGAGGTAAGCGTGCGGCCGGGAGGGAAGAGGGGGGCCCCGGGGCAGCCTGCCTGCACCCCAAACTCCTCAGCCCCGGCCCTGCCCCACCCCAGAGCCCATACCCCCAGCCAGAGCCCTCACTCCCCTGCATCCCAACCCTCTGCCCTAGCCCTGAGCCCCTCCCACCCCCCAAACGCTTCATCCTCAGCCCCAGCCAGAGCCCTCATCCCCCCACACGCTAACTCTCTGCCCCAGCCCTGAGACCTCCTCCTGCATTGTGAACCCCTCATCACTAGCACCACCCCAGACCCTCAGATTTTTATATTATTTTAAAAAATATATATCTGCTTACAAAGCAGGTGGGGGGGGCAGGACTTGGAGCTGTTCTGGGCACCACCAAAAATTATACAAACCTGCTGCCCCTAGGACTGGGGCCAGATCAGATAATCAAAAATCAAGATAAACCAGAGAATGGAAAAGTGCAATGCTTCAGCGGCATCTAGCGGCCACAGGAGAGCATGCACTGGTTGTTCGGTTAATATGGATAGTGGAGGGTCAGATAAATGGGTTCTCTATTGTACGATATTTTAGCCTTGAGCATGCTTCTTCATTAGCGGATTGTGGAACAGATGTGATATGCTTTTTCTCTGCTGCTATTCAAACAGCAAGCAGAATATTGGCTTTGGAGTTTTAAGAGTCTGAAAATTTTACGATTTAATCTTTACCAAATTTCCCCAAGTTTAGTTATATCTAGATGTTACAGTAGGGTTCCACTTCCTTTATTCCATGAACATGGTTTTTGTATTTATTCAGCCACTGTAAATGCTTCCTTCGACTGGCTTCACTATTACTTTCTAGTCCTCTCTTCCAGATTGAATGTTAACAGGAAACTTCCTTTCCTTACACCAGGCACATTTTACTTTTTAGAACTCTTTCCGGTTACCCTCACATTTAATTTAATGCAATCATTTCCCCTTTTGGTTTCCATTAGCTTCTATATAGGCTCACCCCTAGTATCAGCTTTCTTCCTTGGACGCGAGTGAAAAAATTGACTCATTTGTCTTGTTATACATGAGGCACAAAGCTCCTGTATTTGTTTTTAACCCAGATGTCTACATACAGTTAGAACATTAAATTGCCTTTTTTTCAGTTTTACTTGTATTTCAAGTTCATGCTAAATCTTCATTTCAGATTCCACATTAACCTTAAACATGTAGAAAAATAAAAATACAAAGATGCTAACATTCTATTTTCCTCATCTTTTAGAAATTTTGAAAAATGTCAATTCTTTAAAGTTACTTAGAAGAGCTTACAAAGAGTCTATTCACGTGAGGGAAGGGAGCAGAAGGAGACTCCGCCAGTTGGAAGGCATAAGATGCACTGTCCTAGGGCTGGGGGTTCCACGACCACCACTCCCAAGAGAAGGAGGCGGGTGGTGGTGGTCAGGGACTCTCTCCTCAGGGGGACTGAGTCATCTATCTGCCGCCCCGACTAGGAAAACCAAGAAGTCTGCTGCTTGCCAGGAGCTAAGATTCGCGATGTGACGGAGAGATTACCGAGACTCATCAAGCCCTTGGATCGCTACCCCTTCCTGCTTCTCCACGTGGGCACCAATGATACTGCCAAGAATGACCTTGAGCGGATCACTGCAGACTACATGGCTCTGGGAAGAAGGATAAAGGAGTTTGAGGTGCAAATGGTGTTCTCGTCCATCCTCCCCGTGAAAGGAAAAGGCCTGGGTAGAGACCGTCGAATCGTAGAAGTCAACGAATGGCTACGCAGGTGGTGTCAGAGAGAAGGCTTTGGATTCTTTGACCATGGGATGGTGTTCCAAGAAGGAGGAGTCCTAGGCAGAGACAGGCTCCAACTAACGAATAGAAGGAAGAGCATCTTCGCGAGCAGGCTGGCTAACCTAGTGAGGAGGGCTTTAAACTAGGTTCACCGGGAGAAGGAGACCAAAGCCCTGAGGTAAGTGGGAAAGTGGGACACCGGGAGGAAGCACGAGCAGGAGCGTGTGAGAGGGGAGGGCTCCTGCCTCATATTGAGAAAGAGGGGCGATCAGCGGGTTATCTCAAGTGCCTATGCACAAAGCCTGGGAAACAAGCAGGGAGAACTGAAAGTCCTGGCAAACTCAAGGAATTATGATGTGATTGGAACAACAGAGACTTGGTGGGATAACTCCCATGACTAGAGTACTATCATGAACAGATATAAGCTGTTCAGGAAGGGCCAGGCAGGGCAGAAAAGGTGCGGGAGTTGCACTGTATGTAAGAGAGCAGTATGACTGCTCAGACCTCCAGTATGAAACTGCAGAAAAACCTGAGAGTCTCTGGATTAAGTTTAGAAGTGTGAGCACCAAGAGTGATGTCGTGGTGGGAGTCTGCTAGAGACCACCGGACCAGGGGGATGAGGTGGACGAGGCTTTCTTCCAGCAACTCGCAGAAGCTACTAGATTGCACGCCCTGGTTCTCATGGGAGACTTCAATCACCCTGATATCTGCTGGGAGAGCAATACAGCTGTGCACAGACAATCCAGGAAGTTTTTGGAAAATGTAGGGGACAATCTCCTGGTGCAAGTGCTGGAAGAACCAACTAGGGACAGAGCTCTTCTTGACCTGCTGCTCACAAACCAAGAAGATTTAGTAGGGGAAGCAAAAGTGGATGGGAACCTGGGAGACAGTGACCATGAGATGGTCGAGTTCAGGACCCTGACACAAGGAGGAAAGGAAAGCAGCAGAATACAAACCCTGGACTTCAGAAAAGCAGGCTTTGACTCCCTCAGGGAACTGATGGGCAAGATTCCCTGGGAGAATAACATGAGGGGGAAAGAAGTCCAGGAGAGCTGGCTGTATTTTAAAGAATCCTTATTGAGGTTAGAGGGACAAGCCATCCTGATGTGTAGAAAGAATAGTAAATATGGCAGGCGGCCAGCTTGGCTTAACAGTGAAATCCTTGCTGATCTTAAACACAAAAAAGAAGCTTACAAGAAGTGGAAGATTGGACAAATGACCAGGGATGAGTATAAAAATATTGCTCGGGCATGCAGGAGTGAAATCAGAAAGGCCAAATCACACCTGGAGTTGCAGCTAGCAAGAGTAACAAGATGGGTTAAGAGTAACAAGAAGGGTTTCTTCAGGTATGTTGGCAACAAGAAGAAAGTCAAGGAAAGTGTGGGCCCGTTACTGAATGAGGGAGGCAACCTCGTGACAGAGGATGTGGAAAAAGCTAATGTACTCAATGCTTTTTTTTTGCCTCCGTCTTCACAAACAAGGTCAGCTCCCAGACTACTGCACTGGGCAGCACAGCATGGGGAAGAGGTGACCAGCCCTCTGTGGAGAAAGAAGTGGTTCGGGACTATTTAGAAAAGCTGGACATGCACAAGTCCATGGGGCCGGAAGCGTTGCATCCGAGAGTGCTAAAGGAGTTGGCGGATGTGATTGCAGAGCCATTGGCCATTATCTTTGAAAACTCATGGCGATCTGGGGAAGTTCCGGACGACTGGAAAAAGGCTAATGTAGTGCCCATCTTTAAAAAAGGGAAGAAGGAGGATCCTGGGAACTACAGGCCAGTCAGCCTCACCTCAGTCCCCAGAAAAATCATGGAGCAGGTCCTCAAGGAATCAATTCTGAAGCACTTAGATGAGAGGAAAGTGATCAGGAACAGTCACCATGGATTCACCAAGGGCAAGTCATGCCTGACTAATCTAATTGCCTTTTATGACGAGATAACTGGCTCTGTGGATGAAGGGAAAGCAGTGGATGTGGTGTTCCTTGACTTTAGCAAAGCTTTTGACACTGTCTGCCACAGTATTCTTGTCAGCAAGGTAAAGAAGTATGGGCTGGATGAATGCACTATCAAGTGGGTAGAAAATTGGCTAGATTGCAGGGCTCAACGGGTAGTGATCAATGGCTCCGTGTCTAGTTGGCAGCCAGTATCAAGCAGAGTGCCCCAAGGGTCAGTCCTGGGGCTGGTTTTGTTTAATATCTTCAGTAATGATCTGGAGGATGGTGTGGATTGCACCATCAGCAAGTTTGCAGATGACACTAAACTGGGAGGAGTGGTAGATAGGCTGGAGAGTAGGGACAGGATACAGAGGGACCTAGACAAATTGGAGGTTTGGGCCAAAAGAAATCTGATGAGGTTCAACAAGGACAAGTGCAGAGTCCTGCACTTAGGACGGAAGAATCCCATGCACCACTACAGACTAGGGACCGAATGGCTAGGCAGCAGTTCTGCGGAAAAGGACCTAGGGGTTACAGTGGACGAGAAGCTGGATATGAGTCAACAGTGTGCCCTTGTTGCCAAGAAGGCCAATGGCATTTTGGGATGTATAAGTAGGGGCATTGCCAGCAGATCGAAGGACGTGATAGTTCCCCTCCATTCGACATTGGTGAGGCCTCATCTGGAGTACCGTGTCCAGTTTTGGGCCCCACACTACAAGAAGGATGTGGAAAAATTGGAGAGAGTCCAGCAGAGGGCAACAAAAATCATTAGGGGACTGGAACATGTGACTTACGAGGAGAGGCTGAGGGAACTGGGATTGTTTAGTCTACAGAAGAGAAGAATGAGGGGAGATTTGATAGCTGCTTTCCACTACCTGAAAGGTGGTTCTAAAGAGGATGGATCTAGACTATTCTCAGTGGTAGCAGAAGACAGAACAAGGAGTAATGGTCTCAAGTTGCAGTGGGGGAGATTTAGGTTGGATATTAGGAAAAACTTTTTCACTAGGAGGGTGGTGAAACACTGGAATGAGTTACCTAGGGCGGTGGTGGAATCTCCTTCCTTAAAAGTTTCTGAGGTCAGGTTTGACAAAGCCCTGGCTGGGATGATTTAATTGGGGATTGGTCCTGCTTTGAGCAGGGGGTTGGACTAGATGACCTCCTGAGGTCCCTTCCAACCCTGATATTCTATGATTCTACCAAAAATTCCATACTGACAAAATCTGCAATCACATACACATATCATCCAAGTTCCATGATCCGTAGTGCCCCAGAGAAATATTTTTAATGCAACTCAGGCTTCCACAAAGTTCAAATGTTTTCCTTCTTACAAAAACAATTAGATTATTTAATTTATATTCTAATGCAGCATTCAATTTTTCTTAAGATTTGGCCTGGATTCCTTCCTTTAAATAAATATGTTCTTGTATGTATCCTCCAATTATGATTATCTAACTTCTACAGTATGACACAATTCTATCTTTTACTATAAGAAAAAGAAGCCATTAAAGCTGTGTATTTAGCTGCTACTTCAACTTACCAGTCTCCGAGACCTTTCCAGCAATCTTCGCCATACTGTGTGATGCGCCTGGAAAAAAGTGAATTAGTGCAGTGAATTACTTATAATTAAACTGAAATCAGGTCCTGTGGCAAATGTGAGGTAATATCTTTTATTCAGTTTGTGAGAGAGACAAGCTTCTTCTAGTCTGGGAAAGGTATGATTACACCAACACTGTAAACAAAACTAAAAATACAGGCAGTTTGATTGCTCATGTTGAAATTAGTTAATTTTTATTACGTTTCCAACTGGACAGGTATCTCTCTCTTGCACACTTGGATATTATCATGCAAACACACATATGAATAGTCCCACTGAAGTCAATGGACCTATTCACATGAATATATTTAAGCAAATATAGAAATGTTGACAGGATTGGGGTCTTCTTTATATCTTTTCTGGTGTAAAATGTATAAATGTCAAATGTGTCTTGAATATTCTGTTAACAGTCATAAGTTCTCTCCCTGCCCCTTTATGCATAAAACATTCACTATTTCCTTAACAAGAATACAAAACTAGGTTACAAGTTGCACATCTTTATTTGCTCAGCATAAAAGACGAACAATCCTCATTTTACAGAAACATTGTCAAAAGAATCTTTATTACATCAGGAATAGGCAACACTTAAACAACATCTACAAACTATTGTTAGCCATTACGCAAAAGAAGATGGAACTTCTCTTTCTCCGCCACCCCCCGCAACTATAAAGAATCTACCAAAGGCTGACAAACAAGGGTAGCATCCTGATTGCCTATGCACATGGCCCATTGCATTCTAGAAATTAATCAAGTTTTAGAGAGGAGTATAAAAAAATGTAGATTTAAACGAGCTAGGAACAGTGGGTGAACCAAACGGTGCAAGTTTCAGAGGCCAAACTTTTCTGATACCCACCAAAGTTCAATATATAAAATCTTCCTTAAATTAGATTCTGTATATTTGTCTTCTTTATAAACCAGATATATTTCTTTTTTAGTAAATAATTTGTCCTGTTTCTTCAAGATAATTCTCTTGTTCTGTATTAGGTATTCTATACAATTAAAATAATGTACTGATTACGTTCCCCAAATTCACAGGAAATATAAAGGATTTTGTTTTCTGTATAAATGATCGATGCAGTTTAAATATGGCATAAGAAGGGAAATATTGAAAGTTATGAGCACTTAATCTATGCAAAGCTTGGAAATAACAATAGAAATTGCTTAATAAGGGAAGAGGAATTCCAAATAATAGTCCGGAGAATTCAGAAATACCTTCAAATTAATCAAACATAAAAAGACTCCAACAAAAAAGGATCAAAAGTTGTTCTGAAGTTGAGCAAATAATTGGATTTCTCAGTTCATTCACCCTGAAATGATTTTTTTTCCTTTCACATTGGGTTGTTTTCACATGCTTTTCACCGTTTCCATTTTTTAAAAAAAGTTAACTAAATTTCTAATCTAAACGTCATTTCAAAATGAAATGTTGAAACTGAACTTTCAAAGTGGTCAAAACCAACTGTTTTGATTTCAAAATCTCTTCCTCTTTTTTTTTTTAAATATACAAAGAAATTATTTACCAAACAACAGAAATTTGTGACTAGTTTCAGTGCCCCCAAAATGCATTTTTCAATTAACTTACTATTCATCAAAATGATGTTGCCTTGCTCTGATTATACATTGCCATCTACTGGACACCAGCTGAAGTAGCAGAGAAACTATAAATTGAAAGCTGAGAGCAACTTTTGGCCAGGGCCCAATAAAAAAATAAGACTGCCCTCCTCCAGCGAATCCTGAAACAGGATATATAAATTGAGATCACCATATGGGACCTTAGAGCTCGCGGAATCCATGTGGGCTGCCTCTTTCCTTCTCCAGGGTTACAGCACTAAGAAGAAGAGTTGACCAAACCACAGAGACACTGAAGAATCCAGAAGTGCTACAGATACCCAGAGTAGCCATGTGAAAGACTCTCAGAATGTAACACTTGATATGCCACACCTCCAAAACATTTCCCAAGCTATTGTTTTTACTAAGCATGACAATTTAAATGTGTGAAGTGGAAGACCTTTCAGACCACAGAAGATCAACTTTTCTTGGCCGTTGCACGATAGGCCCCCGAAGGGAAAAGAAGAACACCCCCCCATCCAAGGGTTAACAGGACTAAGCAGCAGTGAGATTTTGTTTCAGAGATTGTATTTCTCTTTCTGTTCTTTAACATTAACAACTATGTTATCTGATTGAGTCTACACTCTTTCACGTGAGATCTTAAGTAACCATATTTTGGATTTAAACGAAGGGCTTGTCTACATTTACAGGACTGTAGCTGCATTGCTTTAGCACTTAGTGAAGACACTACCTATGCCAACGGAAGAAGCTCTCCTGTCAGCATAGATACTCAATCTCCCCGAGAAGCGATAGCTATGTCAATAGTAGAAGCCCTCCCATTAACATAGCGCGGTCTACACCAGGCAAGTTAGGTCAGTTGGTTGTGTAGACCAAGCCTAAGTAAAGCAATATACATTCTCCTTTATAAGCCCAAGCAAAGTGGACTGACAGAGAAAAACAGTAACTTGAAGCAGTTACTTTTGACATTTTAAACATTCCCCTTTCATACCAAAACAATTCCAATAGTAGGGACCACATTCACAAAAATGCCTTAAGACAAGTGCATCCTTACTCCTTGGTGAATTATTTGAAGTGTGACAAATGTATTAAAGGCACTAAAGAACTGATAACTGAATATTATGATGTAATAAGAAATCTTGACAATTTGTTTTGTTCTCTGGTGTAAGTGCTTGACCTCAACAGTTGTCTTTATTAATTGCTTAGAAGACTGTATCTTGTGTTTAGCACACACCTAGAACATTTGCTGTATCTAAACTGGATTTATGAACTGTTGACTATATAGTGAGATTCTCGGTGAATTAATAAACTGTGGATTGATTAAGAATAATTAAAGTGTGCTGATCTGAGAAATGCTCCAAGGTAAAACTTGACCTGAAAAGAACCTAGCGCTCATTAGCAAGCTAGCGTTCCCTAGACTCAATAAAAAGTGGTTTCCCTAATTAAATTCTATGTCAAATTTGGCCTCAATGCTTCTCAAACTGGCAAATCTAGTTTGTTCAATTTCAGCTTTAAAAATCTAACTGGCACCTCTGCAAATTCATAAAATTGACCTCTCATTCACACTTACACCAGCAGTGTCAGCAGAGGGAAGTAGTGGTGAATTATAGAGGAGACAGAGAAGTACCCTTCCCAGCAATTAAGTGTCAGCTAGTGTTAGGGTTTATACACGTTAACAGACCTATGTGGGGGAAAAAAAATCACACTGCCCATTAACCACACCACACATTCTGTGACTGAAAGGCTTGAGGTATCCACTGCTGTTAAGTATTTTGACAATTTAAAAACCCCTTTTAAGCAAGACATTTTCTAAGTTTTTGCTTCTGCAATAAACTGCTCTCAGCAAAAAAATGAAGGCCATGAGGCCACTAGGTTGAGACCCCCAAATGATCTTGCATACATTAAAGGATTAGCCCATGGACAGCTGATCTGGCTCTCAGTAGGGGCAAAAGCTCCTACCCTGCTCTGCTGGCAACTGAGGAAGAGAAATTTGGGCTAATATAAGACTAACGGTAGCCCCCAAAACATAAGTAAACAATTTAGAAAGGTGTGCGTATGTGTGAGAGGAAGAGTGTGAGAAAAGAAGAGACAGGTGCTAAAACTGGAACTTGGCACTCCCCGTATAGATAGGGCCATGATGCACAGCATAAGCCAGAAGCTAACTAATGGAGGTTAGAAAGAACTTTACTCTATGGGCAAGATATTCCATAACTGTCACTACAGAGTTTTTTGCACCTGTTTCTGAATCATCTGGTATAGATGATTATAGACAGAACACTGAACTAGAGGAACCAGAGGTCTGATTCCGAATGGCAATTCTTATTTTCCACTTTGGAATGACGTGCAGCGAAATTTCACTCATTTAAAAGAGTTAATAGACAGTCTGCTGTTTCCCTTGGAGGAAACATTCTCAGTAACACACGAACAAGAAAAATGTGATGGACAATTATAGAACCTCTCCAGAAATGACATGAGTAAAATAACTGTACTGGAAGACAAGTATATTTTAAAAAAACAAACTAATGTCACAGAGCCTGGTCTGTATTAAAGAGTTTTGACTCAATATTTAAAATAGTGCCCGGGAAACCAGAGCCTTGACACTCCTAAAGTAATCACTCTCTGGGCCTTCCACTCATCTACTTCTCACCTAGGGTGACTAGATAGCAAGTGTAAAAAATCGGGACGGGGGTGGGGTGTAATAGGTGCCTATATAAGAAAAAGCCCCCAAAATCAGAACTGTCCCTATAAAATCGGGACATATGGTCACCCTATTCTCAACACAACTATGACAAGATATTGGCACTGCATATGCTAAGGATTTGAAGACATGTAAAAAGATTTCTTCCACTCCTTCCTGCCCTAAGCAAAGAATATTTGTACTGAATGCATTACTTACCTTTAAGTGAACTGGCAGAGACACACCCTGAAACCTTCGTATAGACTCAGACTGGCTGGTTTGGAGATTATGGGCTGCTGTCACTTCATACTGGAAGCAAAAACTTGTCCTCGGAATGTGAAGGCCTTCACTAATATCTACAAAGTCACCAAACCTAATTGGAGCACAATAAAACTCACAGTAAATGTACGTGTATAGTGGCATTACAAACATGGTTATTTCTTTCTATCATCACTTAGAAAATGCCTATCTACAGAAAATTATAGTGAACCTCTGTCTAAACCAAAAGAGAAAACCCACACAAATCCCAAACCAAACATCCCACTACAGTTCAGCATTCTTGGTATCTGGGGAAGGAGTGCCCTTGAAAACTTCAGGTTCAGCATGTTTTCCTAACCTGAATAAGTAATTTAAAACTAGAGTCCAAAAGGCAGATCTTCAGCTGATGTAAACTGCCATAACTACAATGATTTTAATGGAATTATGACAATATGCAGGATTTACTCCCAAAAGCACACACTAAATGTCCACTAGAACTCCCTTGCCTATGGTGAATGAACGCGACACCGAGAATGTAAGTAACCGGGGGCACCGGCTGGGCTTTCTGGGGAGGGGGCGAGTGGGCGCTGGGGTGGCCGGACCTGCCCGTCACCCAGGGAACGGGTGGGCTGAAGTGCCTTGGGGGCTGTGTCACTTGTGTGGCTGAATATGACTGCTCTACACAAAGGATGGCCTGCGTAGAGAGGGGTGGTTGTATTGTGTCCAGACTCACAAATGTCTCAGAAGAAAAACTGCTAGAGAGAGAGAAATGTGCATTTGTTTCAGCAGTTGTTGGCCCTCTCTGTACCAATATAAACCCATAGGTGTAATTTGAATGAAAGACCCTGTACAGAATCAAACTGTGTAATTTAAAATCCCCAGAGTGGAGCCTGGCATTGTGGGTATACATTATGTTCCTACTGTTGTGACACTGGTTCAAGGCACTGTCCTGGCAGCTGGATGCTGTTAAACATCCAATGAAGTGAGCTGTAGCTCATGAAAGCTTATGCTCAAATGAATTTGTTAGTCTCCTTTTCTTTTTGCGGATACAGACTAACACGGCTGCTACTCTGAAACCTGTTAAACAGATGTTTCACAGGTGTGTGAAGAGTATTGTTATTGTGAGTGCTGTCATTGAGGTCCAATGCCTGCTTATTAAATTACGGTTTAACTTAGTGTTTTTCAAGAGCTTGGTTTACTAGTGGTGGTAAAAAAAAAAAAAAAAAAAGAGACAAACCCTGTAATGTTTTAATGATGTATCTTATATAGTGCAAATTCAGTACTGTCTCGTATATTAGTGATGCAGAATTTGAGAAAAATTCTATCTGCTCTGATGTTTGTAAGCTGAAGTGTAAAATAATCGCTAAAACAAGCCAATAAAGCACTAGTAAACAGGCTGCAGAGAACAGTCCTGTACTGGCAGGGGAGGACTTGGTGACCTAGATAATAAGTCTTTCCATCTCTAATTTGCATGATTATTAATGACTAGAATAATAGCTTTATTGTCACTTATTCGGAGGATATTGGAAGGTCCCCTTTTCTGAATTAGCAGCAAAGTCAGAAAGTCCTTCCTCTGTTAAAAGATAGCATTTGGCAGTGAACGCTAAACATATTCTAAATAAAACTGCATGTTTTTAATGAGCTCAAACAGTAATATCATTAGCATTTTATCTGAAATATTTTTAATATGTAAATAAATTGTATGTAGAAACTTAATATAATCAAAAATCAAACTCAGTGAGACAAACCCTCTCTAAGTAGGAACCTTATTTGCTTAAAGTTGAGACAAAACTTATTTGACCTCAGAATAATCATTCTAAAAGGAAAAATTATTAGGAAAAAAACTGGTCTTTTTGTGTGAGAAGGTATGCAGATGAGTTGTAGTTTATACTGCTCTGAAGCATAAATTACAGTGAGCATTATTTATATTTCTTTCATTATGAATATAACCCAGTGTCCTTTAGAAACCATATGCTGGGTCTGAGTGAAAGTGACTGGGGAGAGAGATACCTGTTTTGGACTGAAATAAGGAAAAAGAAGATTTAGGCTGAATATTAAGAAAAACTGCTAGATTTGTTAGAGAGCAAGTAGTCCTCTAAGGGAATTGGTGGAAGCCCTATTGCTTGAAACATTTTAAAACAAGACCAGACAAAGCATTAGAAAACATGCTGCATAAAAGAGTCACTGCATTGGCAGGATTTGGATTTTATTGACATAATACTCATTTCTCACTTCTATGATCTTTATTTGTTTTAGCCTTTGGTACAACCTGCCGGCTAAGGGCTGTATTGAGCAAAAAGTCAGCTAAGCATATTTTGTTGCAGAATCTCAATGGGCTTCAGCCCAAGGGCCAAAGCTGCCCTGTGAAAGAAAAGCATTAAAAATGAAAATTGTACTGGACTTTTAGCCATTTGGAAGTTCAACTGAATACAAAACAGATTCCCTTGTAATGTTTTGCCCAGTCATTGTACTCCTAGCTGCATTGGATCAAAAATTTTAAACTCCATTTTGGCCTCATCCTGATCAACCAGTCAACAGTGCCCTTGTTGCCAAGAAGGCCAATGGCATTTTGGGATGTATGAGTAGGGGCATTGCCAGCAGATCGAGGGACATTATCCTTCCCCTCTATTCTTCCCCCCTAAACTAATCCTTATCTGGAGTACTGTGTCCAATTTTGGGCCCCAGACTACAAGAAGGATGTGGAAAAATTGGAAAGAGTCCAGCGGAGGGCAACAAAAATGATTAGGGGACTGAAACACATGATTTATGAGGAGAGGCTGAGGGAACTGGGATTGTTTAGTCTGCGGAAGAGAAGAATGGGGGGGGGGGATTTGATAGCTGCTTTCAGCTACCTGAAAGGGGGTTCCAAAGAGGATGGATCTTCTAGACTGTTCTCAGTGGTAGCAGAACACAGAACAAGGAGTAATGGTGTCAAGTAGCAGTGAGGGAGGTTTAGGCTGGATATTAGGAAAAACTTTTTCACTAGGAGGGTGGTGAAGCACTGGAATGGGTTACCTAGGAAGGTGGTGGAATCTTCTTCCTTTTGAAGTTTTTAAGGTCAGGCTTGACAAAGCCCTGGCTGGGATGATTTAGTTGGGGATTGGTCCTGCTTTGAGCAGGGGGTTGGACTAGATGATCTCCTGAGGTCCCTTCCAACCCTGATATTCTATGATTCTACGATTCTATTTATTGCTTCAAAGAGGATTTCCCCCTATCATATATCTGAAAACTCCAATGCTTAAAAACAAACAAACAAACAAACAAACAAACAAGGAACGAAGATACCAACCCAGGAAAATATACAAAATGCAGGAGAATTTAAAAAAAAAAAAAAAAAAAAAAAAAAAAAACCCTTCACATCACACACTTCCTTCAAAGATCAGCCAACCCGTCTTCCCTTCTGTCCTCAGTCCCCACTCTGTGCTCTGCAAATATAGTTTTCCCAGGAAAAACACTATTGCAAAACTAGCCATCTCTGCAAAGCCTACTTTTCTGTAGGGAGTTTCCAAACCAAAACCACAACTCATGGTAACACACAAACATCAAGTGGTCTGAATAGCATGCACGAGGTTAAACCAAAAATGGATCCTTTTACAACTCATGGACTGACAAACATTTCTTCCCCTCTCAAGCAATTTCTCCCTTCACCAATCAGATTCCTACAACTTTCTTCTGCATTTCTTTCTTTTAACACCTGAAGCCAGTTCCAATCTGACTCCAGTGTAAACATAAGTGTAAGTAATGCAATGCTGACAGGACTACGGTTTGCCAAAACTGGAAAAGGAATGAGATTTTGGCATAAAAAGATTATCAGGAACATTTTAGTTTTTGTTTTAAAGTATTTTTCTTCTAATACAATCAAATTGCTAAAACTAGTTTTTAATTTAGAACCTTAATATAAAGCTTTTAAAGTGATGGGTTTTTTTTCAGTGTTTACCATCAGTAAGAGATGGGAGGCAGGAGGCAGTGGGGGAAGGAAGCCCACTATCTTAAAAGCTTTCTGAAAAGTTTAATGAGCCCCCATCAAGAGTTAAATATAACAATAATGGTGATGTGGAAGAACCTATATAGATCAGAATACAGCTAACCCAGAAATCAAAGTTTAATTAAAAATACATCACAAGTCATTTATCTTTTTTTCAGATGCATATAATTTTGCAAAGTAACTGGACCTTATTGTGAATCATTACAGAATAAAATTCAAGTTTTACTCACCTATGTAACTTTACTATACCTTCAGGATTTTGCGATGCTTTCTGTTCTATTGAATCCATTTTGTACCTTGAAAAAAAACCAGCACACTTCACAAATTTGTCAGATATAAAGTTACATATATGAAGAAGCAAAAACAATCAAGTTGCTTCATATTATTTTTGTAATCTATAAGGGTCTGATGCAGAAGCCCCTGAAGTCAATGGGAGCCTTTCAGAACCTAATCCTTAACTCTACTATTAAGTTAATACGGGAAAAATAATGAGAAAAATCTTTGATCTATGCATCAAAGAAGCCTTTTTAATAATTGTGCTCAATATTCATAAGATTAGAAACAATTTTAAACCCTTACCTTTCATATTTTAAGGCCTTTTTGACATATCTCAAGAAAAGTATGTATGTCATGAATGAGCCAGTCCAGCTCAAAGCAGTTACATTCATTTTATTTTGTGGAAAGAACGTTTCAATAAAAATAAGCCTTTCTAGATACAAAGATGTTAATGCCAGAGGGACCATCTGATCGGACCACCTGTGCAACAAAGGCCACAGAATTACACCCAGCTACCTTGTAATAAGTCCACTAACTTGTGTTTAGCTAAAGCATAATTTCCAGAAAGGCATCTAGCCTTGCTCTGAAGACATCAAGTGATGAAGAATCCACCACTTCCTTCAGTAGTTTGTTACAATGATTAAACACCCTCACTGCAGAAATGTCTGCCAAGTTTCTAATTTGAATTTGTCCAGCTTTAACTTCCAGCCACCGGGTGGTATGCCTTTCTTCACTTGATTAAAAAAAGAGTCCATTAGTATCCATTATTTTTGTCCCACAACTATGGGGTGCGGAAAGAAAGGCACAGAGAGGTAAAGCAACTTGCCTGAGATCACAAAGTAGATCATGGCCAAGCCAGGGATAAATCCCAGGCCCTGGTCAGTACCCCATTTATAGGGCACTTCGTTTTTGGGTTTTATTTTATTTTATTTTTCACAGGAATTGATCAGTGTTTATCACAACAACAACAACAGAAACAGGTGAAGATCGGTGGAAAAAACTAGTAAAAAAGTATTCAGTAGATTAATGCTTTGATTAAAGAAATTCAGCATGGTTTGCTGCAGAACTAAAACAGAACTCAAAACACCAGGCCATCTCTGAGTTTAAGAAAACAATACCTCTCCAATCCCCAAATAAAACTTTTCATTTGAACAAACAGTTTACCGTTGTAGACTTAGAACTAATAGCCTATAAATATTTACATTTAATAACTGGGCCCTACCATTTGAGGGTATACACTCAACTTCATCCTTTTCTCCTGGTTTTTGTTTGTTTTTTTTAAACTTTAATACGCCTTGTTTTCTGAAATGTATTCTGACACATTTTTGTTTTCCTCCCATTTTTGGGTGTCAGCTCTTTAAACAGCATCTGCTAACAGCCTGAAATGTGTACGAAGTGGATGTGAGATTCATTAGTACATTCAGATGCACACACACTTCAGAGCTTGTGTGCGTGCCTGTTTGTTTATTGTGTGCATCTTCTAATCGAATACATAGCCTTACTTCAACAGACAGCTTTGCATATACACACACAGACTAATGCATTACCATAATACATATATCTCATGCAATGTATTGTATTTTCCTAATAAAACAAGTTATTTTTATATATTTGAATGATACAAAAGTAAGGTGAAAGTCGGAAAAAACAAATAATCCTTTTTGTAAAATCTGCGATTTTTCTGGTAAAAATCGGTTTAAACTGAAAATGAAAGGGCTTACCTATCTATTAGATCACACTGCCTCCCAGGTAGTTGGGTGGAGTGCCAAGCATAGCCAGTCACCTGTTAACCAAGGCTGATGGTAAAATGTAATGGTATTTAGAGGATAACTTCCTGGATTCACATGTTGAATTTGAATCTCTCAATACAGAGATGTGCTGTATAGACCAAAAAACTTAAAAGAATAAGCATGTGAGGAATCTAATCACGAATAATATGGTGAAAGAACTTTAAGAATGTCAAGATATCACTAGTTTGATACTAAATACAAAATCTCATAACTGTTCCAAGTTCTTAAATACCTCTCAGTTATACACTGTAGTGCCACCTAGTGTACGCATTTAACAGGAAAACTTAGTGTACATTAGTTTAGCTCTACTGAAGTCAGTGGAGCTACACTAATTTACACTGAGGATCTAACCCTCCATACTTCAATTGTCACATTTTTAAAGGTTATATTTCCTTTCGCAATCCAATTTGGTCTTTACTATTTTTGTTTAAATCTGAAATAAACACTGACCTGTTATGCTGAAACATTTCTAATGCCACTTTTGCGTCAACGTGCAATGTTTCAAATGGCAGATCTTTGTGAATTAGATTGTATGCTTCTTTTGTAAGAGAACGGAAGTTGTCCTTAAAACAAAAAAGTAGACTATGTTACCCCTGTTCTTGAGCTGCTCTTTAATACACATTGTATGTATAAAAAACATTGTAACAAGCAGTAAAAATGGTAAACAGCAAACTTTTAAGGATACTCATAGTAGATCTATAAATTCCTATAAATATATCTATCAGCAATAGGCATGGTAATGATTACTGTTGGTAGGACATTACAGTTATTTTAAATGGGAGTGGCCCCTGCCATTGAAATCAATGGGTGTGTTTTCATTGACTTCAATCGATATTGCATCAGGCCCAAAGAAAATGGGAATTCCTTATAACCCACGCACTCCCATTTCCAAATTTTTAGTGAGACTTCTAATTCATTGGAAGAGCTTCCACAAGCTCCTCCAAACATACTATATGCATAGACATGATCCTGCCACTGCTGAACACTAATCTGGCTAATCCCTGGCTAGTTTTCCAGCGATCAATCAAAATCCCACCTGGAAGTGCCCTCTTTACTAACAAATTCAAAAGAGTGGACGTTACTGATACATCAATAAATACAGAACTGATTGCCTACTCCAAAAATCAAACTTCAGTACTCAGAAGACATTTGCAACAATCAAAATATTTACTTGATTGAGAACCTGAAGATGACTCACAACTACCTTAGAAAGTTTTTCAAAGTGGGCAAGTTAAACTACAGCTTGCACTGAAGTGAAATTCTGTATTTTGTTAACATTGCCCCCTTAGCCATACATCTTTTTTTCCCCTCTTCTGGTGAGCATGCATTGTAAGAAGAAACACCTGCCCAGTGAAATATATTTGTTTTCACTTAACCTCACAAGAAGTCATGAGGCTTGATTAAAGGTCTAAACAGCTTTGAGCCCTCTGCTTAAACATGCCATATAAATGCAGACTATTGAGGACAATTACAGTTTAATATTTAGTACACTCATAATATTTTTAAGTAAGCATATATCACCTTCTCCATACTTGGAGAAAAAAAACTGTGCTAGCTACAGCCATCTTTAATTTAATGGGGCTCCACATGGGGGCAGAGGTTTGCCTGGGGTAGTCAGATAATAGGGGTCTCTAAACTGTTGCCAGAATAAAGCAAGACTGTTCCCATTTTAAAAAAAGAGAGGTCACCGAAACAAAGGAGGAGTAAACTATAATACACCTCTACCCAGATATAACGCAGTCCTCGGAAGACAAAAAATCTCACCATGTTATAGGTGAGACCATGTTATAACAAACTTGCTTTGCCCCCCTCCCCATTCCTTGTTTCCTGACCGCCCCCTCCAGAGACCCCCATCCCTAATCACCCCCAGGACCCCACACCCTACCCATCCCCCTGCTCCCTGTCCCCCGACTACTCTGACCCCTATCCACAGCCAACCCCAACAGGCACTCAGCAGCAGCGGCGGGAAGCAGAGCAATGCGGCCCCAGCCCGCTCCACTCCGCCAACTCCCAGCGGCGGCACCCCGCTTCCCACTCACCTGCGGCAGGAAGCGGAGTGCCGCGGCTGGGAGCTGGCAGAGTGGAGAGGGCTGGAGCCGGGCTCCTCCACTGCTGGTGAGTGCAAGGGGGATCCCTTCCCCCAAACCCCCTCCCCCGAGCGACATGGCCAGGGTGAGGGAAGTGGAGCGGGCTGCTCCTGGCCCCCCGCTAATCCCCCAGGCAATTCTGGGACTGTGGGTCCCCCAAAAGTGCCCCCCCCCAGCTCCCGCCTCCCAGACCCTTTGGGGGGTGGGGAGGGGAGCCTCTAACCGCCCTTGAGACCCTCTGCCCCTTTTCCAACCCCTCAGCTCCGGCCCGGCACCCTTAATACGCAGCTCAGAGCAGCATGTCAGAGCTTTACCGTGTTGTATGCGAACCCGCATTATATCGGGTCATGTTATATCGGGGTAGAGGTGTAATGACTTTTCAGAAGATAAATTGTACTTACTTCTGTTGGTTTCCAGTCATCAAGCCTGCTGTCCAAAACAACATCATAACAGAAAGCTCCAGAGATCACTGCAGAGCCAGAGAAAATGCTGTTATTTGTAACAAAGTATACATTTTGTTTCATGGCCTCAACATTTTTACAAAAACATTACTAGTCTGAATAAATAAGGGCCAAAACAAGGCTGTTTCTGTTATAGAAATATAACAAGGATCACAAGCTGAAATCTGTGGATTATAATCACAGCTGGACAGTTTGGGTTTTATAAAACCCAAATGACAGATTCTGTTTGTTTCTTAAATATTCACCCCAAAAATATGTTCCGGGTATTTACAGTTTTTATAAGAGCATGGCAGTCTGTACCCACTCATCAAAACAGTTTTTTTCTGGATAAGTATGACATAAATTCAGGCCCTCCTCCTCTCTGAAGTATTTCTGCACTTTTCATTTGTACAGATGATTGTATTTCTGAAAGGTGCCAGACAGATATAATATTGAAGTCATTTATTTATCCACAGAGGAGGTAACACAGGCAGCAGCAACACCATTTCAAACTCTGACAACATACTGAGGTAGGAGGAGACAGCATGGTCTCCATGCACATTTATTCAGTCCTTGGCCTCTCTGCCTAAAAGCCATTTGGAGTTATGGTATGTTATTGTCAAACCTGACAGTCAGTCTACCAGCTTCACACGTATCAAACACCTCGGGCTCATCTACATGAAGACTTTGTGCACAACAAGCCAAGGTGTAACTGTACTGTGCACTAATCTGCCACACACGAAGTCACGGTGAGGACCCTGCTATGGCACACTAAAAGTTTCATAGTGCACTTTGACGTACTGTCAGATAGCCAACCAATTTCAGGCTTCGCTTAAGTAGCCCAAGGATGAAATGCTCTCTTTCCAGCAGTCTGAATATATATTCTTAACAATAAATATGAAAACCTTTTGCTTATGTCAATTTAAAATTGTAAAAAAATTCAGACTACAGATTAGCAGAAATTGTCAAGGCTCTTTGCTATTATGCTTAACTATTACAATAGTCCCCCAATATAACTTGATATTTTACATGAGTAAACAACGTTAAAGGAAATTTCACACAAACATCAGTTCATCATATCCGACACTGGCTGCTTTAGCTTATCATACAAGGTATAATTTAAGGTCCTTTTCCTCATCTTAAAAGCCCTAAATGGGCTTGGAGCCAGTTATGTCAGAGACCTCCTCTATTTCTGCACTCTGACAAGCAAAGACACTTCCAGACCGGTCTGAGGTGTAGTCTCGCCTCAGTTGGATCACTGTATCCTTAATGGAGGGTCCAAAACTGTAAAACTTGCTGCCAGCAGAAATTAGGCTGCGTCAGTCTTGCCACTTTCAGGACATGGTGCAAGACCACTTCTTCATGCAGGCATTCTGGGTGGGATTTCAAGTGTTCAGATAAGCAATTCTGAAATCCCAATTATTACAAGCACATTAGTGATGTCACTCCAACATCACTAGATGTTAATGTCTGACCCTTGAAATGATGAGGGAAAGGGGAAGAGAGAAGGTACAACTGGGCTGTACTCCCAGAGTACGCATTCCTTGGACATAAAATGAATGTCTAGAGCACCCAGACATTACAGTGACACATTTTAGAAATGCAGGAATAATAAATCCCTCTCATCAGTAGGAAAGAGAGCCCCTAAATGTGCTGGAATGCACCTGAACTGGGTCTATGCAAGCTTATCAACAAAAAAAATTTATATCACCTGGCACTTCTGGAGCTCTGATCAGACTGACTGAGTATTCATCTTTGAATGCCTGCTTTAACACACATGCCATGATCATGGCACAGGAACGCCAATAGGCCTGTAATAAAGAGCATTTCAAACAAAATTTACTATACTGAAGTTGCCAATTCATGACAGACTAGTTCAGCTATTGATTCAAATAGTGACTCTTCCTTTAAAACTGAATTCCTCATAAATTTGCTAGTTTCCATTGTGCATTAGTATTTTAATAAAATATAAGTATTTTATTATTTATACAGTGCTACAAACATAAGCTTTACAAAATAGAACTCCATGTTCACCCTTTTGGAAGAAGCTTTGAATCAACAGTCCTGATCTTTCAATAGTCCACCCATGTGACTCTAACTGCAGGATCAGGTTCTAAGAGACAGGTCAACTGATAAAGAAAAAGGTAAAGGTAAAGAAAGGTGAGAAAATAAGGTATAAAAGATTTCCGGAAAAAAAAGTATTTCAAGGGAGGGATCTGAAAGAGGATGGAGAGAATATCTTGCAGACTGTTCAAGTTGCAGGAGGCAGCATGAAAGAGAGTGGAGAGAGCATGAGAAGGAGATAAAGGGAGAAGCAAGGAGGTAGGGATGCAAGTAGTAGATCAAGAGAGAGGAGAATTAGCAGCAAGTGAAAAGAGAGGTGTAGCGAGGTGAGATTATAGAGGACCTTGAAGGTGAGGATAGGAAGTACTAGTTACTATGTATCTATATCTTCAGGCCTAGAGTAAGTTCTAAAGTTTACAGTATTTCAAGAAAGGGGTTGAACTGGAACAGTACACAGTGATTTTGCAAGCTAGTGCTTTGCCCCAGTGACTGCATTTTGTGGTCTAAATTTTCACTGAGAAATAATCAAGATACTAACCCCTTATGGATGTGAAGATAAACTTCAAAATGTGAACCAGATGTAAACTAATGTAGTGTCCACTAATCAAGTGTTTACTGGAGTCTTTAGACAACCTGAAACAACAACTCTGATGCCTGAACTGACAGTTTAAACATCAACATTACCACCTATATTATTCATGCCCACGGAATTCAAGGAAACAGATGGATGTGGAACTTGAGTTGTAGGGGGGCATTTAGGAGACTACCATGTATTTCTTCCAGTGCGACCCTGTTTTAAAGCAGAGGGAACACTAACCCAGCTTATGCACTCTTCGGCCAAAATGATTCTTTACTGAAGTTAACATCACTGACTAAAAATGTAAAGTATTCTTATTTTTAGTATGCAATATAAGTAATATTCCTCACATCATCTTTGAAAGGTATGTAGCAAGTACAATTTGACCCTTTTATATATAGGTTAATGGAAAGACAGAGTTTAAGTGACTTGCAAAAGACCACACAGTCAGGAACAGAACCGGGCAGTTCTGACTCCCAGTCCTTTGTATACTACAATATTCTTCTGTATCTATGTGTGGTCTCATGTTCTACACTTAGATCATAAGCAATTTGGGGAAGAGACTCTTTTTATTCTGTATTTGTACAGTGCCTAGCACAGACGAGTTCTGATCAATGACTGGGTTCCCAGGTGCTCCCAAAATATAAATATAATAATGTAACAAAAAACATTCCTAAATTGCAAACTAGGATTTTACCTGAATTCTTAGAATTGATGGATCAACTACATAAATAAATATATTTGGTGAAAGCAATAGATACTTACATGTAGTGACAAATCAACTCTTCTACCATATTTGAGCCAGTATTAATGCACTAAAGACATATTACAAACACAACTACTTCTGCTCCTCCTCTCCCTGTCTGGAACTGTTCATAAACCCTCTTTCCCTCTATATAATGTAGAATCTTTAGTGTAGGATTAGTAGGCTATAAATTTTTAGTTACAGAAATTTAGACTAAACTTATTTTATGCATCCTACTATACTTTCAGTAAAGTTTTTCAACATGGTTATTCCCAGCTACTGCAGTGTCAATCTTGTTCATATGCAGCTTGAAGGAAAAGGTTTCTTAATATCTTAATTTTCAGGCTTTAATACAACTCTTGGTTTCTCTAGAGTGCAGACTAAGATTTTGCTTTCCTATACAGGTGCAAAAATTGGTGAAGATAGTAGACTGTCCAAACAGCAGCAGAGATGAAGCCAACAAAAAATGTGTGATTTTAACAACTTGCATTTTCTCATGTAACCAAAAGAGCTAGAATTTCATTCATTTCATTCAAACTAAGGCCCTAACCTTCTCATTGAAGTCAATAGGAAAAACGTCAATGACTTCCTTGGGAGTTGAATCAGGGATAAGACAGGAAAAACTGCATAAAGAAATAAGACGCTGACTTACCTTGTTCACTTCCTCTGGATTTTCGTCTTTGAAAGTAAGAAACTGAATTTCACATGATTTGGTCAAAGGCCGATACATGTCCCAAAGCTCTCCATCCACAAGTGCCAATACTGATTTCTTACAATGCCATTCACTTAAGTCTAAAAAAGAAGTGAAAGAATTCAAGGCAGTGATCAACAACCCTCTAATATAGCTAAAATTTGCAATTTAGAGTTCTAAACTTATCATACCAAAATGCAAGAGTCATTGCTGGAAAAACCTTTGTGCGGGAATACTATCAGAATCCATGGAAATTAACTTTTTCCTTAAATCCCACTATCTGTACAAACTGAAATACTATGATTGTATGTATTATTACCTGGACCACTATGTTTGTCTTTACAATGACCACAATAGTAGTATGTGCCAGTTTGGTTGGTAAATACATTTATCAGCAAAGTGATTTTGATACACAATGGAACAGTTTGTGATTCCATTTACTTACGCATGGCACAATTGTATGGAGTAGACAAAGCTTTGTTCATAACAAATGAAGTGCCAGGATGAGATTTGCCAACATATTTTACTTCAATCTTCTCAATTCGTGGATAGAGAGACAACTGTCTCTCTTTCTCCTTAGTGAAGAGTTCATTACGCATCTGAACAATCTCAGCTCTTGACAGTTGAGAAGCAGGAGCTGTTGAAATAAACCCTGGAAAAAGAAGCGACTTAACTAAGCAACATGCAGCTTCTCAAAATATTTCACAAACAGATATAAATAGACTAATTAGCATAGTCAATGAGTAGAAAAACATGAGCCACTAACTCAACAAACCTTTAATTGTAATACAACCATATCCATATTGCAATGCAACTAACTTCCAGTTCACACTTAACATTTGTAATAATCACTCATTATGCAAAAACCAGACCCTAAATATTCAAAAGTTAAACAACATAGAAATAGAAACATAGAAAGGCTAGCCTTTAAATAGAAAGGCTCAGCACAAACCTAAAATCTTACTTGTAATCTTTCAGACTCTGTATTTGAGACTATTACAAGCCATGATTGCATCTGTATCTCTCTCTACTTTCTCCTCATGAATACATAAGAGGAATTGTGGGATAATTTTTTCTCAAAAGAACTTGTGTTCTGATCCTGTATGAAAAATCCTTGCTGCATCATGTCCTGTAAACCACCCCCAACTGCGGGAGAATAACCTGATGTTTTAAAAGAACACAAAAATCCAGGCATAATTAGTTTAACTATGCAATGGTGCCCATGAGGAAACATTCCTTTCGGACTCCTACAACAATTGTCTTACATCATGAAATCCGAGATTTGATGACCCACACCTTAGCATGAATAACTACAAAAATTATTGTCCATATTTATCCAGAGCCATTTTTAACTCAATGATTATAAATAAGAAGCACCTCAGATCACTAAATTAAATACATTAGCTAAGTCCAAGCCTTGCAAAGTTATAAAAATTTACCAGCTGACATCTCAGCCTTTACCATAATAATTTTCTTGCCTATTTAAACAAATTTACTTGTCCCACATAACTGAATTTTGCAAGCTTTTGTTTTTAGTAACAAACATCTCATTTTATTTTAAAATACGAATTTTATTATTTATACAAGTGATTCTGCATGCACACACACATCACATGATTTCCAAAACATTTCACATTCTGTAGTCCACGAGGAAATGATCCATGGATCACTGGTGATCCACAATGAAACAAAACATTTTGGAAATCAGGCACGGGGGGTTGGGAGAATATTACTCTTACAAAAAAACCTGCACAATACAAGAGCTGCTTCCAAACCCCTAAGTTAAAACATTGTGCTTAGACAGGTAAACCACAGAGTTATAACCGAGGCCAGGACCACACTAGAAATTTACCTCGATATACCTACATCTCTTGGGGGTGTGAAAAATCCACATCTGTGAGACATGTAACTACACCAACCTAACCCCCAGTGTAGACTGTGCTAGGTCAGCACAAGAATTCTTTGGTCAAACTAGCTACTGCTTCTCGGGGAGGTAGATTAACTACAGCAACAAGAGACGGGAGGGGGGGAGGGAAGCCAGGCTCCCGGCAGGGAGATTCATGCCTGGTGTCTGGTCAGCTGCTCCGTTCCTGGCAGCAAGCGGGGAGCCAAGAAGCCCGGCTAGGGAGCCAGGAGCTGGCTTTCTTGTCCATTTCACAGCTCCAGCACAGGTAGTGTCTATGGTCACTACACTACAGACCTGTATAACTATGTCACTCAGGGTACGTCTACACTACCCGCCGGATCCATCCAGCGGGGATCAATTTATCGTGTCTAGTCTAGATGTGATAAATCGACCCCCGAGCTGTCTCCTGTCAACTCCTGGACTCCACTGGTGTGAGAGGTGCAGGAGCAGCGGGGGGTGGGGGGGCGGCAGCAGTCGACTCACCGCGGTGAGGACACCAGGGTAAATTGATCTAAGTACCTCGACTTCACGGAGCTGAAGCTGCGTAACTTAGATTGATCCCCCCAGTGTAGACCAGGGCTCAGTGGTGTGAAAAAATCTATATGCCTGAGCAATGTAGTCATACCAACCTAACCCCCCTGCCCCACACACACACACACACACGAGTGCACTATGTCAGTGGGAGAGGTGAGCTACAACCTCTCAGGGAGGTGGATTAACTATGCCAGGGAAGAGCTCTCTCCTGTTGGTGTAGAGCATCTTCATTGAAGTGCTGCATCATTTTAGTTGTAGCCTTGCCCTATGCCGAAGTGCTACAGAGGCACAGCTGTCGCATTTTAAGTGGAGACAAAGCCTCAGGTCAGCAGAGGGAAGGAACCTGGTCTTCACACCTACCACACTGCAGAAGCTATGCAAATAACACATAGCTACACCCAACCCCCAATAGTCAGTGCAGGGCGGGGGGGGGGGGGGAGGTCACTGCCCTACTCCCTCCCCCCAAAGTGCAGGGCCCGGGGCGGGGCGGGGGGGCGGCGGCACTGCCCCTACTCCCGCGCAGGATCGGGGTCACTCACGGGCGTGCTGGCTCCGCAGGCAGCGGGTCGCCCAGCGCGCGGCCATGGCCCAGCTGCTGCTGCTGCTCCCTGCGGCCTCCCCCGAGCGCGCGCGCGCACCCGCCGCAGGCTCCCCCGGAAACACGGGCCGCGGCGCAGGGATCCGCCTGCTTCAGCCGCTAGGGGCGGGTGCCGAACGAGTCCTCGGCTTACCCGCCAGCGCTTCGGCGCGCGGCCCTGAGCCGTATCCTTCCGCGGGGAGCGGCTCCCCAGCCTTTGCACGCGCGCACAGTCGCCGCGCTGCGCCGGAAACCCATTCCGGGCGAGAGTGGCGCCCCTGGTGTAACGGGGTTCCCGCACGCAATCCCATTGCATCAGCAGGTTGCTGCATTCTGCACTGGCTGCAATTTTTAAGTTGTGCCATGGCGTAGATGCCTTGTAGTGTCCCGTTTCAAGCGCAGAGAGATAAAATATAACCACTCAGGTCCCAGTCGTCAGGGATCACCTCTCTACTATATCCCGGCTTTAAAGTACATTCACTGAGGCTGAGGAAACCTTGGGATTAAAAATGTTCCACCACAAACTGCCCAATAATTTTCCTCCCACGAAAGAAGACTTGAGTCAGGCTCAGGCTGATACCTAGACACTGTCAACATAAGAAGATGATTTCGTCAACAAAGTAAACCTCTTAAATTGCTTAGACAAGTTTGTTACAATTTTGCTGTGTTCACTCGTGGCAGTGATTCAGCCAGATCACAACAGGACAAAGATATGACAGACACTGAGCATGTGAGGAACAGATAATTGTTTTGACAACATTAACTCCTCTGGAAGTTAAAACGTAAGAAATTAAAAATGTCTTATACCTAAATTCACGATTTAAAAATGAATTTAGAAAACACTGACAGAGTTGCAATGAATCTGCATTCAGTTAAAGAGTTTTCCATCTTCAGAAGAAGTATGAACCAGGACTTCTGGGGTATATACTTGGCTCTATCGCTGACTGAGGCCTGGGCTACACTACAGCATTAGATATCAGTGTACATACTATAGCCTTGTCCCGCCAATGAAGTGCCCTATTACACTGACATCATAACTCCACTTCCACTAGAGCCATAGCACTTATGTTGGTGTAGTTAGGGCAAGTCAGTTCCTGTAGACAATGCCTTACTTATATCTGCTGTTGGCTGTCTTGTCAATTTCAGGGCTGCATGCTCAGTACCTGGTTTACATGGAGCAAGGCCCATGCTCAGAAGGGGCCCCGGCCTGCTCTGCTTGCACTGTGCCCTGAGACCCCGCCAGCCCACTAGCTCCCCGCTTCCCCTGGCCCAAAACTTGCTCCTCTTGGCCTTTTCGCCGGCCGGCCAAGGGCTCTTCTCCACCCTCTGGCCCCACCCGCCAGCTTCTCTCTGCCTCCTGGCTTTACCTCAGTGCACCTTCGGCTCCCGTTTGTCTCTGCTTCCCACCACCTGTAGGGCCCCATCTGTCTCCCTGGAGCTGAGCCTCCTGGGACTAGTGCAAAAGTCTGGCGAGTCTCGGACAGTGTGTGTTGGGGGCTTCTTGGACCCCTCCAGGCAAGAAGGTCCTGAGGGAGCCCGGCTGGGGCAGGCCATGGCCTGACTGATAGTGCCACTCCTGAAGGGCCAGAGTGATTCCCCACCCTGGGACCAGCCTTGGCTGCACTGGTGGCTCAGCCCGGCAGACACAGTCACCTCCCAGCAGAGCCGGTTCGTGCGGCCAGGAGGCAGGGCATGGAGGAGTGGGTCTCTGGAGCACCTGAGCTGGGGAGGTGCTGGGCTGTGACAGGGCAGGGAAGATCTCTGTGTGTTGGGGCACTAGGGAGTGGGGTCTGTGTGGGGTGCTGGGCAGTTGTGGTAGAGCTGTGGCTGGGGGGCACAGAGCAGGGGTGGTGCTGTGTGGGGTGCTGTGCATCTGTGGCAGGGTGCTGGGCATAGCGGGTCCGGGGAGGCTCTGGCCATAGGGAATCGGGGGGGGGTGTTCTGATGTTGGGGGGGTGCTGTGTGGCATGGCATGGGCCCACCCCCAAGAGGAAGGGGCATGCTGGCAGTACAGGGCTGGACGGGCCATTGTGTGTCTGGCAACTGCTGGTTTGTAAATAGTGCCCTCGCACTGGACTGGGCAGAGTGGGGCCGCCCCTGCCATGCCATGCCCCTGACCGGCCCCTTGCTCCGGGGACCAACTCTCCTGCATCATGCTCCATTGCCCCCATGGGGGCCCACAGCTGTGTTTGGCATCCGGCCCACAAAAGGTTAATCCAGCCCTGTCCATGCTGGAGCTGTGAAAGCGGCAGCCAGATCCCAGCTGCCTCTGGCTCCCCCTCCCAGCTGGGCTGAACCCAACTGGCTCCCCACTCCCTGCTTAGGGAGCTGAGAAGCCCAGACTGCTGCCCCCTGCTCTTGGCAGGGAGGCAAGAAGCCTGTCTCAGCTTCGCACCAGGACAGGAGCATAGCAGCTGATCAGACTCTGGGCGCGGATCTCCCCACCAGGAGCCCGGCTGTCCCCGCAGGCTCTCTGCTCCTTGCCAGGAACGGGGCAGCCACATTCAGCTTCTCACCTCCCTGGTCCCCTCTGGGAACAGGGCAGTCAACCAGACAACAGATGTGAATCTCCCTTAGAGGTTTTTAAGGTCAGGCTTCACAAAGCCCTGGCTGGGATGATTTAGTTGGGGATTGGTCCTGCTTTGAGCTGGGGGTTGGACTAGATCACCTGAGGTCCCTTCCAACCCTGATATTCTATGATTCTCCCTGCCGGGAGCCAGGCTTCCCCCCGACCCCAGCTCTCGGTTCCCCCACTCCCCACTGGGAGCATGGCTGTACCTGGCGCGGAGCTCCGTGCCCAGACTCCAGTCAGCTGCCCCATATTCCGAGCAGGAAGGGGGCAGCCAAGAAGCCCGATGCAGCTGCATCATTCCTGGCCTGGAGCAAGAAGCTGAGGGAGGGTGCACCCAGGCTACTGGTGGGGAGCTGTGAATGGAGACATCTCCACACACTGCCCCTCTTAAGTCGATGGAAGTACTTCTGGTGAGGATGCGCAGGGCCAGCCTTAGGAAAAGTGGTGCCCTGGGCAAACTTGTATTTTTGGTGTCTTTGGCCCCCATGGATGTGGCACCCAACCCCCATTGCCCTTGGCCCCAATGCGCTCCCCACCCTCCGTTCGTCCCTAACCCCTGCACTGTGCCCGCCTTTGCCCTAACCCCTGTCCCTCCCTCCTGTGCCCCAATCCCTGCCCCTCCTGCACCTCTGACCCCTGCACTGTGCCTCCTTTGCCCCCAACCCCAGCACCCCATTCCTGTGCCCCTAAGCCCTGCACCCACCCTGCTGCACCCACATGGGGAAACTGACCTGGATGCACAGAGCAGCTGGCATTGTTGCTTGCTTCCCCGCCCCCCAGAACACTGCTCCTCGCCACCCCCTCTAGGGGACTGTGAGTGTGGGAGCGATGTTAGGATTCCCTGCATCCAGGTCACTTTCCCCACCTGGCCTACATAAGGGGTGGGCAGGAGAGCAGCAGCTCCTAATGCCTCACAGCACAGGAAAGTGACCTGGACGCAGGAAGCCCTGGCATTCCTCACTCCCCTCCTTACAGCAGTCTAGGGGAACACAGAGGAATTTTTTGGGGGAGCAGCATCTATGCATCACCGCTCTCTTTCCCCGCCCCCCATGTTCCTCTCCTGGAGGAAGCAGGGAGAAATCTGGGCATCCCCTCCCCCCACCCATGGGGCATTCCCCTGCCAGCAGGAGCAATTTCTGACTCTACATCAGCAGTGCACACCTCTGTGCTTCCGCACGGCGGCCCCTTGATCATGGCGCCCCTGAGCAGTCGTCCGGGTGACCCACCGCATGGTGGTCCTGGCACCATCGACAGAAGAAGGGCAGTGTGGACATGAACAACCGCAGTAATTACTGCAGTGGCTGTAAGTTGACCTAACATAGGTTAACATATGTTTACAGTGTAGACATGTCCTTATTATGTTTACTTGGGCCCTGATGCAGCAAAGCACTTAAGCATGTGAGCAATCCCACTGATTTAAATGACAGGTTTCAGAGGAACAGCCGTGTTAGTCTGTATTCGCAAAAAGAAAAGGAGTACTTGTGGCACCTTAGAGACTAACCAATTTATTTGAGCATGAGCTTTCGTGAGCCACAGCTCACTTCATCAGATGTGTACCGTGGAAACTGCAGCAGACTTTATATACACACAGAGAATATGAAACAATACCTCCTCCCACCCCACTGTCCTGCTGGTAATAGCTTATCTAAAGTGATCAACAGGTGGGCCATTTCCAGCACAAATCCAGGTTTTCTCACCCTCCACCCCCCACACAAATTCACTCTCCTGCTGGTGCTAGCCCATCCAAAGTGACAACTCTTTACATAATCAAGTCGGGCTATTTCCTGCATAGATTGGATCTATGGGCTAGCACCAGCAGGAGAGTGAATTTGTGTGGGGGGGTGGAGGGTGAGAAAACCTGGATTCGTGCTGGAAATGGCCCACCTGTTGATCACTTTAGATAAGCTATTACCAGCAGGACAGTGGGGTGGGAGGAGGTATTGTTTCATATTCTCTGTGTGTATATAAAGTCTGCTGCAGTTTCCACGGTACACATCTGATGAAGTGAGCTGTGGCTCACGAAAGCTCATGCTCAAATAAATTGGTTAGTCTCTAAGGTGCCACAAGTACTCCTTTTCTTTTTACTGATTTAAATGGGACTATTTATATTTAAAGTTAAGCACATGCTTAAGGATATTTTGCTACACTGGAGTTTTGGGCAAGTCCTTTATCCTTCCTGTGCCTCAGTTTCTCTATTTGTAAAACTGAGTTGTTAATATCGTTATGAGCTGTGTGAAAACTAGTTATGGATTGAGTTAAAACCTTGTTCAAACTTATGTGTTAACATGGCTGTGACAGGTTAGGCCCCCCCAACCTCCCCTGCATCCGGGATGCCACCTGATGTGCTGGGGTCCCACTCAGCCACCCGGCCCTGCCAGACTGGGTTTCCCTTGCACAGGGTTTTAGTGCTAGACTCTCAAGCCACTTTCCAGCATACATCCTGGCAAGACCACACCCGGCTGCAGACACAGACTGCAGTCAGATCTGTGTGAGAAAATTCACCCAGCACTCACTCACCCACTGTGGAGCG